AGCCAGCTTGGCCGTGGTGCTCAGGTGTGGTGTCACCATGGAAAGTGGGTGCTGAAGACCCAACGAGGCTGGCCCACCTGCAGGGCGGGGGTCCTGGTGTGCCTGACGAGGCGCTGACCGAGCGGCCAGGCCTGCGGACCCTGGACCAGAGGGAGTGCACCCCAAGATGGTGCAGGCCGAGGTAAGATCACCTCCCCTGGGAGGCAGCGATCCGCGCCCCAGTGAGGCCCAGCTCAGAGGTGGGGAAGGACCACGTACACTTCCCCTCAGATAACAAAGTCCCGACTGTAGGGGCTCATCACCCACTGTTTTAGTGGGTAACTGGATTCTTCAGAATTCACTGCTGGGGTTGCCAACAAAGGGACTATCCGGCATCCATTTCCACAGAGCGAGCAGTGACAAGCCCAGCGTTTCAGCCGAACCCCCCCAGGGGCCGGGGCATGTGTGGGGCGGGCCACACTGAGCAATGCCCTTCGAGGGACACACCTCTGCACCTCGCTTTCTGCAAAGAGCAGGTCAAGCCATCCTGGTTTAGCAGGGACAGAACTCATCCAGCAGACGGGAGGCTGGAACTGGGTGGATACGCTGGACCGTTTCATGAGCCACATCAGACCCTTGGGCACTTGGGCATGGAGAGCCCAGTGGCCCCCCCTGTGGCTCCCAGGCCTGGGTGTCACATGTACCTGCAGCCTCTGGAGCCTGGCCTTTCAGAGCCCTGGGGACCCCTGCCCCACCTGCAGATCAGCAGCTGTGGGGTCTGGCTTTGCAAAGGGCAGTGCAGTTCCCCGTGAGAGGGAACTTGACGTGGAGGATGGCGTAGAGCCATGGCGCAGGGAGCATGCCCCCACCGTGGGCCCCCAGGCAGGGTCCCCGTGCAGTGAGTCTGAGTGTGACTGACACTGGGCCACTGGGCACCACGCTGTCCGTGTTTTCTTGAGTTGTGCCCCACCCTCACGAGGCGCACTTCCGCTTCTCCATCTTCCTGCCACGGATCACAGATGCGCCCCTGGGACGGGCGGAGGCGGCAGAGGTGGGCACAGCAGAGGGAAAGGGGCCGGACTGACGTGCCTGATGGAGGGAGGAGATGGGGAGGCCAGGAGCAGCGGGAACTCGGGGGACTCTGGGGCCCCGGGGGCTGAGCAGTTGAGAACATGTGGGGAGAGGATCAGCGCGTCTGGCCACCATCACTCTGTCCGCATTTCTCAGGGTCCCAGGAGCGTGCGCTTGGCGGGAAACATAGGGAGAGCCCACTTGCTTCCCGAGTCACAACACGGGGAGGGTGGAGAGAGGACATGTGTGAGTGTGTGCGGGTAGATAAACACTGAGAGGTGACAGAAAGGGAGACAGACAGACGGAACACAGATGCACAGATGGACGGACGGACAGACAGTAGATACAAGGAGAGGTTAGGCAGGATCGAGCCTGGGGTCTGTGGGGCACGATGACCCTGAAGGGGAAACGGAGAAAGAACAGAAGAGGAGTGGGGAGTCCCTGGAGGGCCACACTGCCCATGGTGGGAGCCCGTGGTGGGAGCCCGTGGTGATGGCTTGGTGGCTTGGAGCGAGCCTGCCCCCTCAGCCCCAGCTCTGCTCGCCAGGGGCTCCATGCTCCCCAGGGCATCCTCACGGCCCTCTTTAGCCTCCTGTGCCTCTGTCCGCCTCCCTCACGGGGCGTCGAGCATGAGGGGAGGGATGTGCCAGCGACTGTGAGGTCAGGACGTGGCAGAGCTGGGGCTCAGAGTCAGAGGCAAGGGTTCAGCGTGAGTCTCTGGGGTCTGAGGGGTCTGAGGGGCTGGACAGTGGTGTTGTGGAAGTGCGGGACCAAAGCTGTGGGGCGAGCGTCCTGGGGCGGGAGGCCAAGTCGAAGTGGCAAGCTGTAGAGTCTCTCTACCACGTGCTGTGGGCGACCCACAGGACCAGGGAATTGACAGGGCGCCGTACGTCTCCCCACACGCAGAGGTCGTGGGGACCGGGCCATGGTCTTCCTCTGTCATCCCAGTGAAAGCGTCGGGACCCTGGACCTGACGCCCCAGGACCCAAGGGCATGGTAACCGCGAACTGGCCTGGGATTCTCCACATGGTTTGTCGGATTCTCAGAGTCTGGCTTTGGGGATGATGCACTTGCTTGCTGGTGAAGATTATTTTATTCTCGTGGGTCTTTAAAGGAGGCACAAGGAGAATCTGGGGTTTTCGGGGCGTTCTCCTGTGCAGGGCCCCCTGGGGGCTTGCCTTTAAAGTCCCCTTCCTGGAGTATTTCCTGGAATGTGGCTTTTATTTTGTCACAAAGCAAGTGTTTGAATGTTTGTTTTCCCTCAACAAGACGGGGAAAGACTACAATAATAAACCAAGTATTCATGATTAATGGAGGGAGGAAAATGCCCCCCCTTCCTTCGCCAAAAGGAGGTCTTGAGGTGGGATTTTCCAGGGAAGTCACAAATCTCAGGACTTCTTCTCCCCTCCACCACGGGCCTTTCAGAACCTGGGCGAGTTTCTCAGTTTTGACTCCTGAGTGTGAGCTTTCTCTCGGACCTGGGGTGGCCCTGTTCCAAAGCCCTCGATCTGCTTTTCCCTCCTAGAGGGCAGGGGATGGACACCCGCCACACCCAGCAGCACCTGATGTCGCCTCTGTGTCTTCGAAAGTATGAGGCCAGCTTGTGGAGCCCCAAGCCCTGGGGCCCTTCCCAGTGGTCCCCATGGGAGCAGGGGGTCCAGGCCTTTAGGATCATCCCCACTGACGGGTCACTTCCTCCGAGGGCGAATGGCAGCCACACAGAACAGCTGGTGTCCCATAACCTCAGCGTCCATGCACTCACACGCAAGTGCACATTCTCTCACGCAAGTACACACTCACACACGTGCACACAGTCATACACAAGTGCACACTCACTCACACGTGCACACACGCACTCACAAGCTCACATTCTCATACACAAGTACGCGCTCACACACAAGCACACATTCTCTCACACAAGTACACACTCACACGCAAGTGCACATTAACACATATGTGCACACATGCACTCACACACAAGTGCACATTCTCTCACACAAGTGCACACTCACACACAAGTGCACACTCACTCACATGTGCACACATGGACTCACATGCAAGTGCACATTCTCATACACAAGGGCACCTCATGCACATCATACAAATACGTGCTCGCACACACTCACAAGTGCACACTCACGAGCATGCCTGCACACACATGTGCACACTCAGGCACTCGCATACCAGTGCACACCCACACGCAAGTGCACACTCTTGCACACACACTCACACACAAGCGCACATTCTCATACACAAGTGTACCTCATGCACATGATACAAACGCGTGCTCGCGCACACACAAGTGCACATTCTCTCATACACGTGCACACACTCACAAGTGCATGCTCATAAGCATGCACACACATACACGCACACCCATGCACTCCCACACCAGTGCACATACGCAAATGCACATGCTCCCCCCGTGTCTTCTGTTTTCTCAGCTCACTGCACCGTTGTCACAAGAATCTGGGGTTGGTGGAGAGTCAGGTTGTGTGGTGGGAAAGAACAACACAGCTCCTGGACGCGTCACCGTCCGTGGCTGAGGACAGCTCCACAGCAGTGAACGTGGCCGACAGTTCCAGAAGGTAGCTCGGTCCCTCGGAGCCAAGAGGATGTAATGAGGAACAGAGACACAGACGAAAGGACACATGGCTGTCAGCATAAGAAAGGCAGCTTGCAGGCACAGAGATTTTACACAAACACACACACTCCACGCAGGGCGGAGGTGGCCACAGCCCATTCTCTCCTCCCGGAAAGAAACGCAGCAGTAAAAGTACCTACATCTGGCCCTGTGTGTACACACCTCAGCCTCCCGTGGTCAGATGGGGTCTCAGGGACCCTCCTGGGGCTTCTGTTGTTGGGGTGCCTGGAGGCTGGAAGGAGCCGAGCTGCAAGCCGGGCGCCCAGTGCCCTGAGGAGCAGAAGTGGGCAGCACCCACCGCAGGAAGGATGCTCCGTGTCGGGTCACTGTTTCTGTTTCCCTCCAGCAAAGCTCCTGAGGTAGGGTGTGCTGGTCTCTCCGGATGGCACCCACTTCCAGGGGTCCTTTCTGCTGGGGGTGTTGCTGGGATTCCCTCCCCCCATCCCCGGCTGGGGTTGGGGGACCTGCCCGGGGGCAGTGCCACCCTCCTGGGTTTCTTCATCTCCTCCAAAGCTGCCCAGTCCTGCCTCCTCCCTACCTAAGGCTGAATTTGACTCTGCACCCCAAGGACCTGCGCCCCCACCCAGGGCTGGACTGCCTGCAGGGGGTGCGGGAGCCTGGAGCAGTGGGGGCACAGTACACGGAGTGATCTGGGGCTGACGGAGGCCCTCATCCCATGGGAGGCCAGGCCCTGGGCTGGGAGCACCTGGCTGTGGTCCCCCCAGCCTCCTGGATTCTGCAAGCTTCTCTGGCTCCAGCCCCTGGGGGCTCTAGTCACCCACTCCCCACTTGCCCATGAGCACCAACCCTGAGTTCCTCATCCAACAGGAGGGACTCCCTTGGGGAGGGGTCCCCAGCCAGACCCAGCTCCAAGGACGGTGCCCCAGGACTGGCCCAGGCCAGGTGGAGATGATGAACACAGAACTGGGGGGGGGGGGGTAGAAGGAGCCTCATCCCTCCCTTCTCAGGTCCTGCTGACCCTGCCCTTCAGGCCCACAGACTCATGGCCAGCGAAGGGGCTGCTTCCCTGGGAGACGGAGGTCCCACACATTACTGTCAGTGTCAGCAGAAGTGGAAGTGAAGGGCATGCTACCCCTGGACTTGGATGAAGGGGGCGCCCCTTCTCGATTGGCCAGCTTGGGTGTGACCCACAATGGGCTACGGGGCAGGGGCGCCCCTCCACTAAGCTCGTGGAAGAGGGTGGTGGCTGAGGGGGCAGCCCTGGGGTTGGCCGGGCTGTGGACTCTCTGGCCAGTAGCATGTCAGCCAACGTGGTGCTGGCAGCAGCTGGACGTGTCCACCTGGGGCCTCTGCCACCATGGTCAGATCCTGCCTGGGCTCATCTGGTGGAGGCGGGGGCCGGTGCAGCGGGCTGAGTCCCCCGCCAGCCAACCCCTGCATGTCACTGAGTGGACAAGATCAAGGCAAATAACGAGGAAATCACACCCGCACACCTCCAAGCCAGACCCAAACACCAAAGAGGAAGAGAAAAACCTTAAAAGTGGGAGAAAAGGCCTCCTTCTTTCAAAGGAAAAGCAAGACTTTCAAGTAACTTTCCTAAGGACACAGTGCAAGGCAGAAGGCAGTGGAAAAGTTCCTTAAATTGCCAAGGAAAAATAGGTTCCAACCAAGGGTTGTCGAAGTTTGAATTTATTTACTTGACTTTCTATTTTGAGATAACTTTGGACTTCACTGTTAAGAAGAATATGCTCCTGGGTGCCTCAAATATTAGCAGGTTACATTCCCGTGGTACAACGGTCAAAACTAAGAAATAAGCATTCACACGATGCTGGGAACTTCACAACAGACAGGTGTTTTGCTCATGTCCTTTCCCTGACCCAGCATCACATGCTGCATCATGGTCGGGCCTCCTGGGCCTCCCCCGCGGGGGACAGTGTCTCCATCCCCCCTTTCATGACCTTGACGCTTGAAGAATATCGGCCAGGTGTTCTGTGGAATGGCCCTTGGTTGGGGCTTGCTGGATGTTTGTGCACGATTACGGTGGGCTTCTGGAAAGTGCCCTCACCAGCACATCCTATCGGGGTACGGGGTGTCCACATGATGGGCGACCGTGATGTGAGCCTGGGTCCCCTGGGTGAGGGGGTGTGGTTTCCCCAACACAGAGATGCAGTCCCCTCTGCACACCATCCATCGGAAGAGAGCCGCTGAGTCCCTTCACGCTCTGTCTCCTGGAGAGAGAGAGTGGCATACGTGGATCTGTGGGCTCTCACTCAAAGCACCATAGCACATGCTACTTTGAGCTACACAGGCATCCTGTTTGCCCCCGGATTTTAGCAGTTATCAGTGGGTCTCAGCTACAGCAATCCTGCAATCATGATGACGATGATTTCCCATTTCCCTCATTCCTTTCACATTTATTGATTGGAATTTACTGGAGGCAAGAGTTGCCCCTTTCTCTCATTTATTTATATTTTCCATCATTATTTGAATCCATGTGGACTCATGGGTATTTATTCCACTCTTGGGCTGTGAGTCAATAATATTATGACTTATGTTGTTGCCCAAGTACCTTGTACCAGCAAAAACATCCTGCAAAAATGAAGGCAAAAGCACGGTGTTTTTGGACAACCACACCAGAGGGAACTTGTCCCCATCAAACTGGCATTCCAGGTCACCCCGATGGGAGCCGTTCCAACGAGGACGGAAGCCGCACAGAAACACAGAAGTGGGGGCGGACAGGGTGGCTCGGGGTGCTGAGCAGGCACAGGAGAACCGACCAGACAGCGAATGTCTGCCAGGTTTGAAATATGTGCGGAATTCACCTTCGTGGCCCTAGGAGCAGAAATGTGGGGGAGGAAGGAGTGCTGCAGAAGAAAGGACCACAAGCCACAGGAATCGGTTATGTCAGGCTCCCGCAGGTCTGAGGTCTGGGGCGTGCCTGGGTCCTCTGCGTGGCCTCTCCCACGGCCAGAGTCGAGGAGGCAAGGCCTGGCGGGGCTCCTGTCGGCAGGCCCTGTTGCAGAATCCACGTCTGAGGGCATCCCAGCATTGGCCGAGCCCCGGTCCTCTTCCTCATAGGACGGACATCCCTGGTGCCTTCCTGGCTGTCAGCTGGGACTCCTTTTCCTGAGGCTGCCGCGCTCCCTGTCGCTGTCCCCTCTGTCTCCAGCCAGCAGTGCACGTCCACTCCTCTGGCCTTGAACGCCACTGGCTGACGCGGAGAGATCCTCTGCTCCCAGGGGCTCCTGTGTTCAGACTGGGCCCACCTGGGTAATCCAGGATGACCTCTGTATTTTAAGATTCGTAACCTTCATGGCGTCCACAAAGCCTCTTTCCTACATAACATAACACGTTCATGGGTTCTAGGAATTAGGACATGGCTGCCTTTGGGGGTATCATTCCATCTACCACAGGGAGAAATGCAATTCAAGAGTTCGAACGTCCCGATGTGGTCTGGGAAGAGATGAAAGTGTTAACTTGTATGGGAAAGAAACCACTAAGAGATCAGTACAAAATGTGCAGCAAGCAAACTGGTAGAGGAGAGCACTGAGTAACTAAAAAGACAATTTGTACAATTGAAAAGAGGACAACTGAGAGGAGAAGGGCCACAGAACAGGCGGGAACGAGAGGAAACGGGGGGCAGGGTGAGGGTTATAACCCCAACACGTTAGAAATCATATTAATGGCAAATAAACAAAACACTCTCAAAGATCGCCAGACTGGATTTAAAAAGAAACGAAAGTCTGATAATATTCTGCTCATAGGGATGCATCTGAAAAAACACAGAAAGCACATAGAAAAGAGACGTGTGCGTACCATTCATGCTGATCGCGGGGGCGCTGGTGCGGCCGCCCCAGGAGGAAGGGTCAGTCCGCGCCCCACGGGGAAGGGAGGTCCCCTCTACAGACGGTGCCAAGCGGTTGGATGTCAACGGGGGAGAGAACTTTGACCCCCCTCCCATCCTATGGAAGTGTCAACTCCGGGTGGACGGCTGCTCGGAGGGGAAAGGTAGGACAGCAGAGAATGTGGCCTCAGGAGGGGTGTCGTCATGGTTAACACGTGGACAAACTAGACTAAAAGCCTGTGTGAACATGCGGAGCGAGAGAGGCCATGTGACGGCACTAGGGACAGACGTGGATGGTGAACGTAGAAGGAACTCTTGCGAATCAAGGAGAATCGGGTCCACAGCCCACGAGACGCGTGCCCAGAGACTCAGTCCCTTCACCACAGAGGAGGCGGCAAATACGTGGGACGGCCCTCACCTGCATTCACAGTCAGGGAAATGCAAACTGAACCGTGAGCTACGTCCTACCAGGATGCCTAAATCCAAAGAGACTGACGAGCTCCCGTGTCGGCAAGTTCGGGCGAACCCAGAGCCCTCGCCGGGCGCTGGTGGACCCGTCGACTCTGGAAAACGCTGGTCGCTACTCGCTCAAGTTCAAGTGTTTCATACCCTGTAACCGCATTGCACTCCCTTTAGGGCGCCCTGCAGATGCACCTACTCACGTTCCCCTGAAGACGTTCACGGGATTACTCACAGCAGCACAACCCAAGCGCCCTAAATTGGAAACAGTCCCAGCCGTGGGACATCCACGCTGTGGGGCATCCACGCCATGGGCGCTGCACGGCCATGAGCAGACTACGTCTGAGGGACAGCTGGGCCATGTCACAGAGGACAGCCGAGTGACCGCGGCCAGACACAAAGAACGAGTTAGGGAGGCCCCCCCCTCGGGTGGTGCACGCGGGGGCCACACCTGGGAGGGAGCGCCCCACACACCTGCCACACCCGGTCCTGGCTCACCCCCAGGCCTGGCCACAGCTGGATGCTGTGCCCACCGCCCCTTCTTGCTGAGCACCACCCTGCACGGTGCCCAGCACGGAGCGGCCCCCCGGGGACGAGCCGGTGGGTGAGTTAAGGAAGGAATATGGAGGGAGCGGGGTCACGGCGGATGGACTCTGCTGGTGAGTCACTCGGGAGTTCTGCTGAATCACAGTTGCTCCCGGTTTGGATGTGTTCTTGACTGTATGTTCCCAGCAGATGGAAGTGTCTTGGCCTCTTCGGGTGAGGCCGTGGGTCTCCGGCAGACGCATCCAGAAGGCAGTGGCCGGAATATGACTCACACAGGCCGTTGGAGCTCTGATGGGGTAAACAGGCCCCAACAACTTCTGCTCATTTAGAAGCAGAGGAAGTGGGAGCTGAGGCATGAACAATGAGGTGGAGGCCGGCCAAGTCTGCGCGGCCGGCTCCAGCCCTCCCCCCATTCCGTGGGGACCCATGACACGGCACCGTCCCGGGAGCATCTCAGGGAGGTGGGCCGACACATGAAATCAGCCCGTCAGCATTTCTACTGACATCAATTAGTTGAGTCCCAGCCCTCGTTCCCAGGGAAGGGAAGCCAGGCCCCGAAAGGACGGGGAGGGAAGCCGTGAGGGAGAGGGGCGGCGGGCAGAGCCAGGACGGCTCGCGGCCAAGCGGGGAGGCTGAGGGGTCAGTGCAGGGCACAGAGGGCTGGCTGCCGGCCTGGGGTTCGGACCGGGGATGCTGGGGGTCGGGGCGTCTGCGGAGCGGGTGGAGGACCCTGATCCCTGTCATGTTCTTCGAGTGGCGCAACGATGAGGGGGGATGGCTCTGGCAGCGAAGCCGCGCTCCCCGGGCCTCCCCGAGGGGACTGGGCCACATGTGCCCACGGCTGCGGGAGAGGCAGGCCGTGAGGGCAGAGCACGCATGGCACGTATAGCGGCTCCTTGCAGCACAACGGGTGCGAGAGACGCAGCCGAGACGCAGCTGGGCCGCCCGAGCCACCGTCCCCCACGGCTCCGTCACAGTTGATCCCCGTCTCCCACTGTGCCTGCAGAACTATTTCCCAACATGTTACCTGCTCCTGCAGCCCCCTCCCCACGGAAGCCGAGGCCCCCGCAGCCTCTGGAGTTGGGCCTAGCCCCGGCTTACCCAACCTTTCCTTCTCCTCGAAGCCCGTCCCAGGCCAGCTGAGCAGCCAGGCTTCTGTGGCCATCGCCGGCATGTGGGCGAGCAGGGAGTCCTGGAGGAGCCGGACACAGTGTCAGCTCCAGACCGCCCGGGCCCAGCCTGCAGAGGGGCTGAGGGTCAGCAAGGGGCCTGCCCTGACGCAGCCCCTCCCCCACCCCGGGGTGGGGACCCCCAGAAGTGCCCAGGAGAGACTGCCCCGAACGGGCCTGTCGGGGTGCCCAGGGCACCACTGTGGATCCATCGTGGGGCCACGAGAACGCCTCAGTGGGATTCATCCATGACCACGAGCTTACTGGCACGTCTGACCTGTCTGTTTGCTCCCTCGTGTCCCGAGGACGTTCAGGGAGTTTTCACGGGATCCCAACAGTTCAGGGCCCCGGGAGGTGGGGAAGCATGGTGCTCACCCTTCATCCCTTTCGCTGGTCTGGCTCTCGTGGCACTCGGGGGTCTGTCCCCACAGAAGAAGCCAGAGTCCTGCTGTGGACCTCGGGCGGGGACTCCTGGGGACAAAGGGGGGCCGTGAGCTATGTGGCTCATTCCTGGGGCCTGAAGGTCCGGCCAGTGTGGGCTCAGAGGTGGGGAGGGGCCGGTCTGGGAGGCGCTCGTCTGTCCTGCCACACCATCGGGGGCCCGGGACTGCAGGCGGGGGAGATGGCTGGGGCAGGCCCCATGCACATGGCCGCCTCCCTGCTGACTGCAGCGACTCCCTGGGGCCACAGCTGATTAGACGTCAACAGGGACCTCAGGGGTGTTACCAGCTGGTTGAGAAGGGGTTCACACAGACAACAAAAACCAGATCCACTCCACCTGCCCTGGGTCCTCGGCTATACGGGTCACCTGGGCCCGTGGGCCGGGGAGAGCCCGTGGGCCGGGGAGAGTGGGAGGCACTGGCGAGAGGGCTGCAGGTTGGGTCAGGAAGGTCAGCTGCCCTTGGCAGCCCTCCAGGCTCAGACCGCGCTGGCCGGCGGGTCAGGGGGCCTGGGAACAGGAGCATCAGAGGTGCGCGGCCCGGCTTGGAGGGGGCGGGAGTGCAGCTCAGGCCCTTCCCACACTGGGTGCGGGGCTGTGGCCCCGATGGCCACATCGTCCTGCTCTGAGAGACGGAGAGCCAGTCTGGCTCCCTGCCCACATCCCAGTTCCGTGGGAATCCCAGGCCCACCCGACGTCTGCAGAGTCTCCAGGGGCCTCCGATCTCACCGCCAGTTCCGGCCGAGGGCAGCCGTGGTGCCCTCCTTCCAAGGGCTGATTCCTCTGGGACTTCTGGGCCAGCTCCCGACACCTGGCCACTCATTCCAGACCCACGTGCGTGGGGTGGGGGGCGGTGCACGAGTGTGTGCATGTGAGCCCGTGTGAAGCCAGTTACACTGCGTTGACTCCCAAGGCCAGGCTGTGGGTGGTCCTTCTGCCGCGGAAGATCCCCTCTCTGTCTTCTGCCCCGAGACCTCAGGAAGTGAGGGGGCCCCTGAGGTGGGAGGGTGTGGGGGACATCCAGGCATGGCCAGGGTGGCCGGCTTTGCCTGGGACAGTCTACCCCACAGTGGGGACAGCTAGTCTCAACGGCTAACCCACCAGCATGTGGAAAGGGCACGTGGACGAAACAAGACAAGTCTATGCCCTCGGTGACAGAAAGGCACGGCTAGAGTCCTGGTCTCCAGGGTCCCGCAGTCCGCCACCCGGGCATGGTGTGCAAGCCACACATGCATCGGTGGGACAGTGGAGGCCCAGGCCAGCAGAGTGTGTGCCTGGGCAGGTGGGAAGAAGCATGGCTGCCCACGGGACCTGGGGACCCAGGACAGTCTGTGGCCTCCCATCTGCTGGGGTGTCCCTGACCACCAGGACCGAACCCCCCCAAATGGGAGATGGGTGCCTGGCCAAGGGAGACACACCCAGGAGGGAGGAGATTTGACAAAAGGCTGTTTACAAGGACTGGTGCAGTAGCCAGGTTTACCAGCCAGGAGCTGCTCAGCCCAGGCTTGAGGGGCAAGGGACCTGGACCCAGGGGAAGGATGACTGACCCCTCTCTCCTCTGACGGCCATCTCCCGCCAGGTTTCCTCTGGGAAATAGAATAAAAAACAAATGTCTTCTCAATGCAGAACACCTGCCCGTGAAGGTGGAAGAGAAAGAACACAGCTCTATCATTGCATGAGCCGCAAGCCAGAGGGTGATGCGCAGCCCAGCAGCCTTCTAAGGCAACCCAGACACGGGAGGAGCCCGGGCTCTGTTTGCAATCAGGTGACACGTCAGCCCCCCCCCCCCCCGAACCGGGGGAGGTGGTGTTATCTCCTGCAGATTACAGTTCAAAGAGCTGGCTGCCAGGCCTGGAGGAGCATTCCCGAGCCCCAAGGCTTATGTAGCTATTAGGGAGATTTGCACACACCCTCGGAAAGGACCCAGAAGCTCTGAAAGAAGGGAGCGGTGGGGAGTCTCTTCTTTTCAAGAGGGAGCGAATTTGTCTTTGCCCTTATAGCTGTCCATGGGCAGCCCCTGGGGCCCTGAGCAGGAGGAGGTTGGTGGGGCAGCGGGGCGAAGGACCCAGAGCACACGGGGCGTTGGGCACGGGTCTCTGCAGGGACCTAGCCCCTCGAGGACGCAGCCATGGGGCTGCCCACCCCCCAGCTCAGTGAGCTTGGTAAGGACTGCTCAGGGCCGGTCCCACTGCTTTTCCAGCCCATGTTCTCCTGCAGAAGGAAAGACTAAGGGGAACCCTTGTGGCAGACCGAGGTTAACAACAGCCAACAGCACCCATCCCCGCTTGTGGCCCCCGTGTGGGAGAGTTCTCACCAAACTGGAGAAACGGAACGGAGGACGAGCCGAGGGGGCTCGGGCGGGGGGGGGGGGGTGCCTCCCGATGGAGGACGCACAGTCCCCTGACTGCAGGATGCTGAGAAGACGCTCACACACGCACTGCTCAGCCTGCTTGCACCATTTCCTGGAAAAGTCCAAACCGAACTTCCCGACACATGACATCATGCAGCCTGGGATAATGAAGTGGCCCCTGATCTTTGAGAAGTGGAGTCTGGGGGCCAAGACAAGCTTGCAGAACGTTGGCAGGGACAGCGGGCGGTCATTGGTCCCCCTTGTCACCCTGCCCCCAGGCCTCGGCAGGGACAGCGGGCGGTCATTGGTACCCCTTGTCACCCTGCCCCCAGGCCTTGGGGCGCTACAGTGATTTTTAAAGGAAAAGAAAACATTTTTGAGGGCTTCCCAGACTTTAAAAGTAATACTAACTCTGTGTGGGTACCTAGGAGCAGAAAGAGGGCCAGGAGGTGGCTTCCCGTCTAAACATCCTGCATTCTGCGGGGGAGGGAGGAAAAAACCTTTCATCTACCTTCTTAAATTCTCTAACTGACACCTGCTAAAATGACAAAAGCCAGATTAACAGGAGAAAAGGTTTATTCCATATGCACATGGTGGGGGCTGAGAAGTGAAAACTCCAAAGAGGGGGTGAGGCCTGGGAGGGGGGCTCCTACCTTTTAATAAAGGGTGATGCTTGTGGAGAAGAGACCAGGAAAGGGAGCGGGCTTTGGTTGGGGGGTGGCGGTGGAAAGGTGAGTGGGCAGAGTGTGGTGCGTGAGATGTTTAGCAAGCCTCACCACACAGACTCCAAGCCGAGGGCCCTCTCCTGAGGACAGCCTCACAGAGCACATTTTCTTTGCCAAAGGGATATCTCTGCCCTGCTTTTGGGCAGAAGGATGGGGGTGGAGAGCCCTCTTGTATTTGCTATTTCTTCACTGCCCTCAGCTCAAAATAACAAAGTGACATCTTTTGGGGTGCCATGTCCTGACCGCCTTCCACCTGAAATCAGATCAGTGTTTTTAAGGAAAAATAAGTTCAAAGAAATGTTGATGGACAAACGTCTGCAGCTTCAGTCGGTAAGCGGCTCCGTATTTGGTGGCTCTCGCTGGAGGACATTCTCCCTCCGCCGTCCTTGTCCCCGGCCACCCTGCTGGGCCACATCTTCGGGCTCCAGCAGCAGGATGGACCCAGCAGGTGGCTACTGCCCATAGCCTCTGGACCCGGAGCTGTCACCGCAGCTCTCCCTCCCCCCGCGGAGAGTCCCCCTTCCGAGTCCATCCTGTGTCCCCAGAGCTTTGACCCCACACGGTGAGAGGCGAAGGTGTGTCCTGGCCTCTGGAACCACCGTCCCCGCTGCAAGCAAGGCTGCACCGAGAGTCAGGCCTGGGACCTGGACGCTCCTGCAGCCCCCGGAGAGATGCACGGGGGTTCCTGGGGCACCCACGGAGGGAACAGCAAGTGACGCCTGCCAGGCAGAGCCCGCCTCCTCCCTCCCCTCCCTCACGCCTCATCGGGCTGTCCCTGCCACTGGGCAGGTGAGCACGGTCAGCGGGTGCCCGTGGGGGCCTGCTGGGGCCAGACGTCCGGCTGCTAGGGGCCCAGGCCGGGGCATCCCGGGGGCGCTTCTCCACGCCGGCCCCACGGAAGGAAGTCCCCAGCCCTGGCCTGTGCTGGGCCCCCGGATGGAAATCCCACTGCCTCCTGAGGCTCTCGGGCTTGGGGCCTCCTCCACCCTGCTTTACAGATGCTGACGGCTTGCCTGCCGTCCACGTGGTGTTCATGGAATTCATGCTGCATGTGACATTTTCCCTTCGTAACTTCTCAATTCCCCCCGGGGGGTTTGCTTTCCATGTCTGTATATGTTTCCTGCGGCCGCCGTAACCACACAGCAAGCAGCCCCAAACCCCACAGCCGTCGTGTGATGGCCCAGGGGCCAGAGCCCGAGGTCAGCCTCGCGGGCGGGTGGCTCCTTGCGAGGCCCCCGACAGGGGTCTGCGTCCGTCCTGCCTTGGCAGCCTCGGGGGCTCGGCGCCCTGTGGCTCGAGGCCACATCACGCCCTCCCCGCTTCCGCTGTCCCACTGCCTCCTCTGCCCTCTCGTGAGGACCCCGTGACCACCGGAGGGCACTGCAGGCGGCCCCCGTCCCCAGGGTGCTTTGCCCTGTGAGGTCCCACGCCCACAGGCTCCAGGGACCAGGCTGGGGAACCGGCAGGGCCCACCTTCCCGGTTCTGACAAAACTCCGTCGCACGGTGTGGGCGCCTCCTGGAGGGCTCCACTCTATCTGGTGTTGCGCCCACCGTGCCCCGAGCTTCCCTCTGGCCTTGAGACGGCTCGTGGGCAGGTGGGGAGGAAGGTTCACAGACTGTTAGCAGCATAAAGCCCGGGAACCTGCGGTCTCTGCGTGACCCCATCCTGCTGGAAGCCCGTCTGCCCTGTAATAAGGACAGGGTCGATGCGGGTCCGCCACGACGGGGGCGCCCCCTCCGCCACCCTGCGGATGCCGCCCTCCTGCTCCCTCGCACATCTGATAAGGCCCACCCCCCATTGTTCTTTCCATTAAAATACTCCTTTATAGTCTCTAGTTTGGGGGCATAAGATCACTTTAAGCTCCTGAAGGAGACCGTTCGGGATTGTCCTCGTGATAAAGGGAATCCTCGGCCCCTGCCGTCCCTTAGCAGCAAAGCTGGTGCCCGATCTCCTGGGATGTCACCTCCCCGGAGGGGCCTCCGACCCCCAGCTAGAGGAGCCCCCGTCTGCCCCCTTCCTACTCTCACCAAGCCGTCACTGAAAGGACATAAGGGGCGCGAAGCCCAGGAGGCCGGCTGGGGTCCAGCCCGTGTCCCAGGGTCTCGCCGGGCCTGGCACGGCCCCCTCCCAGTGCGTACCACATACACACGGTGAGCGCGTGAGCGTGCGCTTAGCGAACGTTCCTTGAGCCCTCCTTCCCAGAGCCAAAGGCTCCACCACCTGAAATCTCGAAAAGCCTATAACGCAGCGTGACTGTGTCCTTTCATTGGGCCGCACACGCTGTGAGCCTCCTGTTCCCAGCGTTAGGATGCTGATGGCAACTGTGAGCAGGTCTGTTTTGTTCCATTGTTTTCTGGCTGGTGTGAGGGAGGGACGGACGAGGGGCAGCCTGCAGGAGGCCCCCACAGGACTGCCTGGGCAGAGAGGAGGGGCCGACTAGGCTTTAACCAGGGAGCTGAGGAAGGCGCTGCCCTGGGGCCTGGACTCCAGGGAAGGCCAGGAGGCTCTGGCTGTCCCCGCGGGCCCCTTGCTCTGCCACCAGCCCAGCAAGCCTTCTCGGCACGCCTGTGCCCTGCATGGGCAGACCCTGCTGCAGGACACACCGTCCCTCCCCCTCCCCGTCAGCTCCTCGTTCCCGGGCCGTGCCAGGGTCCCCGATGGCCAGGAAGCCCAGGCACGCTCTCCTAGACGGATCCCTCTCCGCAGCCCCTCTGGGCGTCTGCCTGCCTGGGGGATTAGTGCTCCAATCTGGGCTCTGTGCTTCCCAGTTAGGCCGCCTCGCTCCGCCTGCCTCCTCCTCTGTCCATGGGGAGGGTAACAGCGCCTTCCGTGGCGTCGACGTGGCGCGAGTGGGCAGCACTTGGAAGCGGCTCTGGAGGGCGCTAACCAGGGGCTCACCGGGGTTTCCACATGGAATGAGGTAATGATTCCGACCAGCACACCCATCCCTCCCCCGCCCCAGGGAAGCGCTTGTCCAGCTCTGTACCCAGCGGTGTGTCCTGGGCTCAGGAGCACAGATGAACGGAGGGCCGGTGGATCCTGGCTCTGCCCGGAGGCCCCGACTCAGTCCCCAGACTGGCCGTGAATCTGGGTCCTTGCCTCCCTCAGGGGGGATATGCACGTGGCCCTCGTCCCCGGGAGCCTGGGGCAGTCACTGTCGGCCCTGGTCAGATCTGTGGGCAGGAGCAAAGCAAAAGAGAGCAAGGAGAGCGGGGTCCCCGAGCAAAGATGACACACCCGATACCCAGCCCATCCCGGCGTCCTGGGCCAGCCGCGGCTGCCCACGCGCGCCCTGCGCTGACCGGGAGCCCTCCGTCCAGGGGCAGGGCTCGGGCGGGGGGATCGTGAGCAGGCGTGGCCAGCTCCCCAGGCACCTGGCACAATCCACGGGACGTACGCAGTGGGCTTTCGTGACACCGGGGCTGTTGTTTATGTGACGCATCGAACATCGGACGGGGACATCGACCGCTCCTCCCGGGTCCGACAGGAGAGGAGCAGGATTCTCTACCCACCAGACTGTGGCTGCCTAAGGGGAGGGAGCTCACCCGCACGGCTCGCAACACGCCCGCGCCCCGCGCGGTGCCGGCCACACGCATCCAGCGAGCCGCCGCTCTTAACTTCTGGGAAGGGACGGGGTCCGGCTCTGGGCATGCGCAGCGGCGCTCATCAGGAAGGCATCACCGAGAGCAAAGTGAAGAACTGAACATTCTTTCTGTGTGAAAGAACATCTGATTGGGGAAAATGCAAGCCTGGGGAGCTAAGGTCAGTTGGGAAAATGTGCAGCATCAGCGTATCTGACCGCGGAACAGCCGGAGCCTCCCCTGCTGTGGTTTTGAACATACGGTCACTTCCCTTTGAAAGAAACGGTGATTCTGTCCCCGACCTAGCTGTTTTTACATGTATGTTTTAGGGTTTCACTTTGAAATAATGTCAAACCTGAAGAAAATTAGAGTTGCAAGAATAGACAGGAACTTTCTGCACAGACTTGCCTCTGACGTGTTAATTTTCTACATTTCGTCCCACGGCCTTCACACGGCCCCTCGGCTGCTTTTGGAACCAGTGGGGAGCAGGTGGGAGCCTTCCTGTCCCACCCCCCGTAAACGTGCCAGTGTGCGTCTGCTGGGAGCGTGGACGGCTGGCACTCTGTCAACCGCCCCACGGTGCTCCCCCACCAAGGGTGCCGTGTGGACCGCACGCAGGAAGGACCCTCCCCACCGACTGTGCCATGTGGACCGCACGCAGGACTTCATCTCCTCCAGGCACTCGGCCCTTCCGTCCCTCTGGACCGTTGGCAGATCGTACCCAGGAGCCAAGGGACAAAGTAGAAATGTGGATCGCAGAGCCTCAGCCGCACAACGCCGGCCAGAGAACGGAATGGGTTTGGGGTGACGGACAATCCCTTAGGAAGAAGCACAGTTTCCAGATTACATGCCCTGATTTCCTCGTCTTGCCTTATTGCATGGGCTTGGTGCCCAGACAACGTGGAGTGGGTGTGGTCAGAGCAGACGGCCCTGGTCCGCTCCCGAACTTCCCACTAAACGTGGACTTGCCCGCAGGGCTCTCATGGAGTCCGTGTCACGGGAGGAAGCCGCAACCTAGTCTTGGTCTGGTTAGCACTCTTATCATAAATGGGCGCCGACTTTTTGTGGAAGGGCTCTTCTGCGTTCCTGAGGTGATCATTGGCATTTTCTGCAAAGATGGAGAATCACACTGACTTTCCAGCTGGAAGCAAGCCTGTGTTCTCGGGCCACACTGTGCCCGGTCCACCGTGTGACTCATGCCTCTCGTGTTTTGTGGGCGTTTTCTCTAGTATTCACTGTGTCTGTTCATGTAGGACATTCCTCTC